TGACACATTAGTTATCTGTGAAATAAATTATCATAATTTCAATGTAAATAACAGTGAAGATATCATTCGTATTCGACGAAATTTCGATATAATCCCCATTCAATCCCGTCACAAGTCAGCCTGCAGAACGAGCTCAGTTAAGTAACCGAAAATAATATGTTCATTGCACTTTATCTATAGTTTCATTATGCAGTAGAGTGGATAACGGTATTTTAAAGTATTTTATAGCAAACATGGGGCATAACGAACACTGCACAGATGTATGGCGGTGAATTAAAACTAATGGAACTGTTAATTTCTCATGAGGATTAACCTTCACACCTACTCTGAACATTGCTTCTCTATTACGCCCACTCGACTCTTAGCCTCATTTCACATTTCTTTCTATTTTTACATTCATTTCCAGGGATTCATCAGGGATTCGTTGAAAATTGAATGGATTTTATCTATTCAAAAATATCATAACAAACAGGTTTCTAATATTATATTATAGGTCTATCCCAATTATCAAACGAAGGTGTTGTATCTGAACATATCGCATAAAAAATGACAATATAATTACATAGTTTGGCATGTCTTACTTATGTTATAAAATGCTGTAACATTTAAAGGAGGCAATTTCGGACATATGTGTATTAGAAGATACATATAAGGTATCTGATATTAGAAGATGTACATAATCTAAAATGGACTGCAATTCGGTGCAAGAAAGCTGAAGAATGATTATTACATTATTATTAATGTTAAATGATACACTTCATATAAATTTTTCAATTGTTACCATTAGTTAATTTAATTAATTAAGTTATTTAAGTCTATTAATTTAAGTTAATTAAACCACCAGAATAATTTCTAAAGATTTTCCGAATTTTCATTTAATCAAATGATTGCAAGAAGTTTTAAACATATTTCATAGATATTGTTACAATTTTGTAAAGGAGAATTAATTATTACAATTTTAAACAGGAAGTACCTAAAGTAAGTAAATAATAATAACTAATAACAATAGCAGTGACTATCCTTTTGATAGTCAGAATTAACATAACAATACTTTTCCTTAAGTCCATCTAATTAATAAACTTGTGAGCAATTGTTACACAGATAGTTGATACATTACCTATTTATGAACAATTATCCTTTATTCTATTGACTGTACGCGGAGCCTACCTACGAGAAATTGAATAATACTTGACTTTATATATATAAATATATAAAGTCGATAAGGTACTAATTTTATATAATTCTAATAATGCGATTGTATTATCTTTATAACACATTTTGCTCTTTTTAGTTTCTATAGACTTATCCAATATTTTTTTATTATGAGTTATAAAATAATACAAGAAGCTTTTATTACAAAATTCAGTTTTTACAGTTATATTAGGTAAAAGTAAAATATAACAATTTCTTTAAATTATTCAAATATTATGTTAGAGTATGAAAATAAACGACAATTAGGTATATAGACAAATATCTATATTTGAACAGCTTTCATCTAAATTTGTAAATCTTGTCATTTTATACTGAAGCTATAAGGTAGAACTCATTGAAGTAGCGTCTTTTATTTTTATTTATATTATCACTTAAGAAAATAACATTGCGAACTTCAACATGCACTGTTTTTGACTATCCGATTGTTTTAAGATTTACCCTTATATATTAGATACCTAAGAGTCTATATATTTTTATGCTACTATATATAATTACTAAAAAGTCATGATTTCATTCGCGCGCAATTATTGCAGAGATCTCCATGATATTTTAAAATAAAATACCCCATGATTTTAGTTACCACTGCAGTTTCCTATATATTTTTAAAATGAGTTACCTTATGTATTTATTGAGTATATTCATTACAAACAAAACTTTATATCTTACAATGATTTTGGTTTCTAATATTAGTGTAGAATAATAAAACATGCATTAAATAAACAATAAACTAATAATAAATTAGACAAGTTCAATTAAACTAATTTGTTGATGTTATAAACTTGAGTATATCTACTCTAGTTTAAGAGAATTACGATGGATCATTCTGTCTCAACTTGAGACAAGATTTCAAAGTTAGCGAAACTATAATAATTTTATTGCATACACTTCTTATGAAAATATTATATTCAATGACAAATTTAAATCTACTTACTTATTTATTGCTGCGTAGATATAGATGCAAAATAAAAATTATTATTATTATTATTATATACTACTAGTTAATAGATGTGTAAATGAGGGAAAAAGTCTGGTACACAATTATTTGTTCATAAAATGTTTAATGACAAACAAGGAAATAATGCACTTAACGGAACATAGTAGACTAAATAGTACTATATGCATATAATATACGGGTAGGTACTGTAAGGCCAATATAAGGGCAATGATGACTTACGTTACTGTTAACAGTGCTTATATGTAGCTTGAGGCGCCAGATATGTAGTGATATCTAGCACCTAATCATACTCATGCAAAAAATAGTACAAAGAATTAGACTTAGTACGATACAGATTTCGTCAACGGTTTTCTATCCCAGCATAATTCTGCAATAAACGATAGGTTAACAGAAAAAAAACCTAATGCCTTAATTAAATAAATATTATAAAAGTAGCAAAATATAAAGAATAAACACAAATAAAACTTGTAGGTATTTATTTTATTTTTAACCAAAGAGTAACTTCTACATAGAATAGATATATACCTATACTTTCCTACTTGTTAATATTTAGGTAATACCTATAAATTTAGGTGATAATAGGTCTACCTGTAATATTATCTTATCTGTGGTATAGGTAAATTTTAATATCATCTATATTTTTCCATGATATTAAAATTTAATTACATATTTAAATAATTAAATTGCCATTTTTTACATTTAATATTAATAAACAAGAAAAATTAAGCAAGAACCATTATTAACATTTTATTCTCAACAATTCCCGCTTTATCAGCGTACACGCTTTGAAAAATAATAACCTTGTAGGTATATAATGAAAAAAATAATGGATACTAACATTACATTAGATTGTAGGTAACGTAGGCACCCTATTATTTCTTCGGCTGAATATAGTATAAAGCTGCCATATTTTATAAGTGTTCTATAATTAAAAAGAGGTTTATCTGCCTAACCAAATCCATCAAAACACAGCTCAAAACATGAACATTTTGAACATAAGTTTCTTCTACCCTGAAAGTACGTAGGTACCTAACGATCTAAGTATTCTAAATTTTCTGATATAAATTGAAAGTTTGCAAAACATGTTAAGAAGATGTGTAAGGAGACAATAATTATTTGTACTTTTTCTCACAAAATGTAATAAATGCAAATTACTAATATAAGAACGATCTATGTTATTTAATCAACATCAAATTCAATCCACAAAATTAATTTCGGCGTTCTCATCTCATACTCGAGCAAACAAATATCAACTCGCTGAACTTAGACAATATTCCGCCCACGTAGCCTCCACAACTATAATAACTGTGGGTACAAAGAAAGGCAACGAAACACAAAACTTGCTGTACCGTTTTGTTAGTTTGAGATACGAAATGCCTAAGAAAATTCCTGTACAAAGCAACTCACATCTTTGAGTGGGTAAACAAGTTACGTACCGTATAAAACTTATTCATAGGATATTAATAGGAAAAAAATAAATTTTACTTACATATATTGGTGTAGCTTTTAATGAACAACTTTAGTCAAATACACCATGAGCTGAGCCATATCTATCTATAGCCCAATGCTCGTTTGCTCCCAGATCATAAAAAAAATCCATGTAGTAATAGGGAAAATGCATAATATTCCGATATAAATAAAATATGTTTTTTAATAAATATTCTTACTTTATAATTATGCCCAATACAATATTTTGTATTACAATTTATATCTATTTGAGGAAGAAATAAATTACAGAAAACAGAAAACAATGCTACGAGTTTTTTTATTGTTCCATAAAGGGTAGGTTGTTAGCAGGAGATCCGTAACCGTAACCGTAACCGAATCCGAAATAAAAGTTTCGGACTATATCGGATAGGGGCGGAGCCTAATAGAAACACGAAAACATACTTATGAAATTCCTTAAAAACTTAATATCCGTAACCGAAATTATCCGAAACTAACGGATAATCCGAAATAATTACATATCCGTATCCGTAACCGGTATAATAATCATTCCTATATCCGAAACCTATCCGTATCCGAAATTTCATATCCATAACATCCCTGGTTGTTAGGTACATGCTGGATAATATTAGTTGAAAATATAATAGAATATACTGTAAAATCACAGCTGTGTAATATTTCTTCAATCTGAGTTTTACCTTCTGTATTTTTGATTTTGTGTAGGACGTCAAACCTAGCGCTCCAAATTGGCGGGCTTTTATTGCCCATTTGAGTTCACTATATTTGACTATTTAAAAAAATATTATTTTGATATAAGATACTTATTACTTTTTGTATTATGTAGTAAGTATCGAGTAAAAAATACATGCATGTTCCCTATTATCATCATAATCTCATAGTAAGAAGTAATTTTAGTAAGTATGTAGATGTTTAGATAATTTTTCTGTGTTTGGTAACCAGCACAATACCTGCTTTATATTCTTTGTCTAAAATGATAGTGGGTAAGTAGGTGTCTATTTATAATTTCGTTAATTACTTTTATACAGTTTTATAATTATTAGCAACAAAAATATTAATCTAAATAAAAAGGAATAGGTAGCTTACGTGGGTAGGCAATCTGAGTTATTGATGACAACACAAAATAACAACAAGTAATACATTTCTTTTTCTCAGAATATCCAATGGCATATCTAACGGTTCTATTTACTGTACAGTGTTATAGGATATAACTGTATAGCATGCAATCTTTAGTGTTACCGATTTTAATCTTTAAGAAGTATTCATTGTCAAACCGCACTCTTCCTTAAGACTGTTATGAGTTAAGTCAATCACTGTCAATCTCACTCATTTCTTATGTCATAGATTGATGTCACGTCATTACAATATGTAACCCTAATCCAACAACTTCAGTCAACACAAAACGAAATAGTTTAACTCTATAATGTTTTGACCTTGTCTTACTTCAATTTTCTTGGAATAAATCAGTGTATTTCCTGCTTTGGTCAATTTTCATCTTTGGATGAGAGGAAAGAACATTTCTTAGAGGTAAGTGTGCTTTTTACTTAATAAATATTATTTGTTTACAGTACAAAAACATACACGAAAACAAATAAAGTCATTTCTATTAATTTGTATGTTTGTAGATTCAGAACTTATGTGCAATTAAAATTCAAGAAATCAATTTTCCTCTGTGTTCCTTCTATGTATCTATTATATACCCTATAAGGTTAACAAAAGAATACTTGTTTAAACTAGTTTGAAGATTATAAACATGAATATTTCTAAATACTCGTCTTTCTATGTATATCAATACACTTCTTAGTATCTATACTACATAGTTTTGTATCCTAATTGATCTGTCAAGCACCATTAAAGTAAGTTGATTTAGACTTATTGGATTAAAATAAAACCTTTTGTAAAATACACCCTTGAAATACCTTCAAGGTTTACTTTAAAACAGGTATAAACCTAAATGACTAGGTCATGCATATTTTGGTTCATAAACACTCTATCCACAATATTTCTTATAAGCTGGTCAGGTGACTATATCTGAGGGACTGACATTGCTCATATATACAAATAAATTTAATTAAAGTTTTTGTTTGTAAAGTTAAATTAACAACTTTTCACTAAATGCATATGAGAGTTCAATTTATATCAAAATATTCTAAACAAATATTGGCTGTCTGTCTGTTCTTGCTAATATCTGAAACGGCTAGACTGATTTTGTATGTATTTTCTCACAGATGGCTAATGTTATAAGGTATAATTGAGGCAACTATTCTAGTTCAGTAGGTATATTTACATAATAAATTTCAATAAAAAAGAGTTACATTCCACATGCAATATGTCACCAGGAAATACTAGTTGACTAATAAAAAAAGCCTGTCACCACATTATCAGACACCACAATTTAATGATAAATGATTGAACTGTTATATTACCAAGAATTTACAAACATACTTTTCACAATTATAAAATATGTCATATGATTTAAAATTTCCTATATCATTCTATTCTTTTTAATTTATATATTATCCTTTTATGTTTTTTATATTTATGAAAGATACTTAGAGTTCTTCGATAAACTTTATTGCATTAATTCCTGTAAAAATAAGTATATATAATTTTTACTTGCTCTAAAAAGACATATAAATAATAAATTAAAAAAAAATGTTTAACAGATTATGATGTACCATGTTAGGTTTGCCCATTGTAAGTTCCTCCTTGAAATAGTTGTTTTAGTACACCACAATGGGCTAGCCAACCTAACTCACTCCTAACTAATCCTCACTGTGACTTCCTTCACTAGTACTCCACAAGCAAAACCATTACCGATGCTATAGTAAATCGGTTGTTATTCGTAGACAAGACTCAAAACCCCATCAAACTAGATCTAAAAGACAAAGTTTACAATAATGGGAAATAAATATTTTAAAGAAATATTTCAACTTTTTGAAAGCATGGTTAACACATATTTTTATAATACTATTAATAATCAAATTCTAACACAATCAGTCAAGAGTACAATATAAAAAATTGTTATATGTACAATAGATATAACAGTTCTCTACAGATTCCTAATATGCTTTATAACATTTCAAGTAGGTTGTAAATTGACATATCCTGTTATTCATAAATGTACATACAATGTAGCTGGTATACTCTGTAGGCATTATTTGATTTATAGAATTTATTTATTTATATATACAAGAAAAAGTAGGTATACAACTTTTTGTGATGCTTAACCTGCACATACCAGTTATCTACTTCGGATTTACACAAAAATTTCACATATTTTTTTTAAGTTAATAAAAGGGAACTATATTATATATTCCTACTTTTTGGGGCGTAGAGTACTATTAGTAAAGTGGACTAATAACCCCATTGCTAACAATGTACAATGTCAAGTTGACCTCCACGCGAGACCCCTGGAAACCACCGTGGTCAATTTCTGATAAATTCGCATCCTATTATCGTCCACTGGTGCCCCGCCAGCATTACCGTTAGCGTAGGCGGTTGCGTTTACCCGTCACCTTTATATCGAGGTAACGATAAAAAAAATTACAAACTCTTGAGCTCCAGGGATTGTCTGATTTTGAAAACAAGAACTAGTTTCTGAATCTATAGAATTTAGGTATATGTAAAATGAAAGCTGTGTCGAATACCCATAAAATTAACGAAAATAACTATTGCACTTTGTTCTTGAACATATTTGACTTGTAATCAAAAGGAAAAAAAACTATTCATTATTTAGTATTCAAGCGTTTGTTAAAGAGAAGAGTTCCTGTAAGTTTTATTTTTAGTGTCCGATTATTATTTTATATATCTTATTCTTTAATGTAATTATGATATATAAATATATATGTATAGTGTTTAAAGGTTGTTTTGATGTAATCTTAAACAAAGTAAACCTTTTAAAATAAATTTTATAAATAAGATTTAAAATTAAATTTAAAGTTATAGTATAACAAATAAATATAAAAAAAAATTTGAGTTACTGTTCCTCAACTCATCTTCGTAACCGCAGCTAACGTACACTAGACTTCATAATGCGACTATCTTACTTAACCACTATAGAACTTTTCAAACGGGAGGAAACTGGTCACATTGACCTGTGCCTGACTCGCGTGCCATATTTTAAATTAATTTCATTATCATGTAATCTCTGTTTTGCCATTGCCCTAAAAATTTAAATGGTGACAATACATCTTGTGTTAACGGAAACAATATGAATATTTTAAACTGTTTCAAAACGAAAGGGTACTGTGACATTAATTCCAAAACATGCCTCATTTATAACCCACTGCGGATAATAAAAACGTCTAGTTTCGTGAGGGAACACTTCCTTTGGTGGATTGTGGTGGTACAGTGCCCAGCGGCATAGTTATGGCTTTATGCCAGCAGACGGCTAATGCCATATAACCGAATGGTGCTACGTCACGTATTACCAAAACGATCAGAATCTGATACCGTATGTAACGAAACTGCCACTGCTTAGGGCAATTGCGGAAGTTTATGATTGTGATAGTTTACTTTTATTGCAACGATGCAGTAGTTCTCATGTGCGAGGTTATCGATTTACATTGTTATTGGATGATTCCACTTGCTTTTGAATTGCAATAAGAATAATGCGCTATGGTATTACTATTTACTTACTGTGCACGGTACTTCGCCCGTACAATTCTCGAAAATAATTTGTAGAAATACCTATAAAGTTGTAAGTAATTATTCATTTTTCACCACTGCGGTTTCTACGTCACTCTGAGTAATTTCTGCGCCTATATTTACAACAATATAATAATATTGAAATATTGGCTTTAAATAGGTAAGTACTAAAATTTTTTATGTAATACTATTTTAAACATATGCCGGACCATACCATAACCTTTCAAATCATCGTACAATGATTGATGAAAGATTTCTCGCGGGTACCGCCATTGACTGACCTGACTGATCTGAGATCCAATGTCACAAAATTTAAAATTTCAGTTTTAAATTATGTTAAACACCGATTACGTTACGATTATCATTTTTCTGTATTATTCAGCCAAATACCATTTCTTGTGACTCAAGCGATGAAGTGGCATCACCACTGATGATACTTTACCTACAATGTTAACTTTAATAAAATTATTCTATAAAACGTATTTTTTTTTAATATTGGAACCCTAAATGCTATGCAATGTAGTATTATTACTTTTTATCTAGTGGTAATGACTAATTGTATTTATAATATTATCTTATTTATATAGCACATACTGCATTTACTGCTAATGTATGTTTAAGACCCTTAATTAAGAAGATTTACCCTTATTTAAGAAGATTATGTACTGAAACATAATAATAAAAAAACATAACATTTGTGTCATAACATTCTACGCGCCTTCACTTGATCTAATGAAGGGGTCAAGCTGTATCTTGGAATTCGCAAGATTGATTCTGATAATACATATACATTTATAGCTTAATAGTAGTATATAGTAATTGTCTGGACCAATTTCTCATAATAAAGTAACAGAGAAACAGAAATCTATTCGTAAATACAAAATATAGAAGTCTCTTAATGCAGTGAGTTTACATAATAAATATACATCCAACATTTTTAGATGTAAATTTTAAATGTTATTATTTCTTAATATGTACTCAAGCTGAGTTGACCCCGCTTCGCTACATAAGTTCTTAAGTATGTTCAATTCAACAAGAAATGAATACCTACATCAATCATCGTACATTGGATGTAAAATCAGATACTGAACGAATGATATTCCAACTCTCATTCCTTTTTTATATTGCTATTATCATAGGTACGTACGTAGGAGTTTCAAATATTTTTTTCTATATTTCAAACTGTTATATTTATCATTTGGTTATATCTGCTGTGGGAGGCACAGTACTACAACACTACAACACAGCTTATCATGGGTTTTCAGAGCTTATTTTATAATACACATTATTTAGTTTTTATGCGCTGTTGTTTAATATTCCAGTTGTAAATATAAAATAATAAACCTAGTGCATATTGTGAAATTACTGGAGTAACGAATATTTATTTTTAATAGCCTTTTATATTATGCAATAAATAATATTATTTTTCGATTGTTTCAAGGAAGGTTTTAAATTATAATACTACCTCCAATATTACCAACAGATGTAAAAAACCAAACTGATTCATTTTTTAAACTTTAGTGTGTACCGTGTGTAGAATTTGAATATAACCATCATCATGAATTAGTAATCTGTTTTTTTTTTTTCTTTTTGAATTTCTTCCTTTTTGCCAATATGACTGATTATCAAGTGCTGAAAAATACAGAATACTTCCACCACGTTGCAAGAACCTACCGAAAATTTGACCGAAAATGATAATGTTTTTGTTAAGAAAATACCTATCCCATTTTTAGATTTCATAAGGCAAATAAGTCCTTTGTTTTTCCTACGGATTCACTTTAATACGCTTTGTGTTGTGTACCCAAACATTTTGTGGGAACAAATGACTCTTTTGTAATGAATGTTAACGTGATAATTCAGATAAATGTGTTTTTAGT